TTTTGTGTAAGTTTAAAGTGTATAATATTTTGGTTTATACATTTACAAATGATTACTACCATAGCATTAGCTAACACCCCATCCTGTCACATTATTACCATTTGTATGTGTGCGGTGAGAGCATTTAAGATCTGCTCACTTAGCCACCTTCAGGGATATAATACAGTGTTATTAGCTATAATCTGCATATTAAATGCCCAGAACTTGTCATTGGAAGTTTGTGCCTTTTGACTAACATAGTCCCATTTTCCTCAGCCCCTAGTCCCTGGTAACCACCACCCTACTCTCTGCTTCTCTGAGTCTGACATTTTTAGGTTCCCCATGTAAGTGATATCACACAGTATTTGTCTCCCTCTGTCTGACTTATTTCACTCTATCTCACTTATATCATAATGTCCTCAAGATTCATCCAACTTGTTGCAAATGGCAGAAATTCCTTTTATCTCATGGCTGAATAATACTCATTTATATGTTAATACTGATTATGATATTTATATATTAATATTATTAGAACATATTTGTTAAATATATTAATATCACATATTTTATAATAATAATATATTAATTACACATCTCCCATCTTTCTTACCTATTTTTCTGCTGAGAGATCCTTAGCTTATTTCCATGTTTTGACCATTTTGAATAACGCTGCAATGAACGTGAGGATTCACATATTTCTTTGAGATCTTGTTTTCATTTCTTTTGGATATATCAGAAGTGGGATTGCTGGATCATGTAATAGTTATACTTTTGTTTTTAATTTCAAATTCCACTTGTTCATGGTTGGTATACAGGAGAGCGACTGACTTTCACATATTAACCTCGTATCCTGCAATCTTACTATAATCTTTATTGCTTCCGGGGTTTTCTTTTGTCTTATAGATTATTTTGGATTTTCTATATAAATGATCATGTCATTTGTAAACAATTTTGCCTCAACTTTCTCATCATAAAGTATGATGTTATCTGTAAGTTTTTTGTAGATAATCTTTGTCATTGAGAAAGTTCCTCTCTATTCTCAGTTTACTGAAAGTTTGTTTTTTTAATTATGAATGGGTGTTGAATATCGTCAAAACTTTTATATATTTTTGGTATTTATTGATATGATGATATGATTTTTCTTTTTCAGTCTGTTATGTGCTGGATTACATTAATTGATTTTCAAATGTTAAGCCAAACTTGCATACCTGGGATAAATCCCACTTAGTTGTGGTATATAATTCTTTTAATACTTTTTTTGGATTCAATTTGCTAATATTTTATTGAGGAATTTTTGCACATATATTTTTGGGAGATATTAGCCTGTCATTTTCTTTTCTTATAATGTCTTTGGTTTTGATACTATGGTAATTCTGGCTTCATAGAATGATTAGGAAGTATTGCTTCTGCTTCTATCTCCTAAAAGAGATTGTAGAAAATTAATATAATTTCTTTCTTGAATGTTTGGTGGAAATCAGTAGTGAACCCATCTGGGCCTGGTACTTAACATTTTAGAAGCTTATTAATTATTGAGTGAATTTATTTAATAGATATAGAGCTATTCATATTGGCCATTTCTTCTTGTATAAATTTATGTCTTTTAAGGAATTTGGTTCATTGAACCTAGGTTATCAAATGTATGGGCAAACAGCAGCTCACAGTATTCCTTCATTACCCTTTGATGTCCACTGGGTCTCCAGTGATGTCCCTCTTTTTTTCTTAGCCCGGCTAGAGGTTTATCAATTTTTTTCCAATTAAAAATAATATACAGAATGCTTCATGAATTTGCATGTCACCCTTGTACAGGGGCCATGCTGGTCTTCTCTGAGTCTTGCCAATTTTAGCACATGTTGCTGCTGAAGTGAGCACCAAGTTTATGAATTTTATTGATCTTTCCAAAGAACGTCTTGGATTCACTAATTTTTCTCTATTAATTTCCTGTTTTTAATTTCATTGATTTCAGCTCTAATTCTTATTTATTTTCTTCTGCTTACATTGGGTTTAATTTGCCCTGTTTTCTAGTTTCCTAAGGTAGAAAATTAGTGATTTTAGGTCTTTCTTCTTCCTCATATATGCATCCAATGCTATAAACTTCTACAAGCTCCAGAAGAAATCTCACAATATTGTGGGGGCCTCATCATGACGGGGTCCCCTGGAGTTCTTAACTCTCAGACTTGCGGGCACTGAGCCTCCAGTGATTCCTCCGATACAGCTCAGGGTCTCCTGCCCCGGCACCGGTTCCTGGCAGGTTCCGGGTCCTGAGTCTCTGCTCCAGGTAAGTGGCGACTCTGTGTTTGTCCGATTCCCCAGTCCTGGGGGACAGCAGCTTGTCCTGCGACCTCCCTTCCTTTTCGGATCCCAGAAGGGTTAATTTTTCAGTCTGTTCAGCTTTTTACTTGTTATTAGGAAGAGTGACGTTTTCTATCTCCTTACATGTGGTGTTGGAAACCAGAAGTCCAAAGTCAAGTTTTCAGTCCCAAGAGGACTTGAGCAAAAATAGTGGCATGTGGGCACAAGGCCAGAGAGCCGGGCACAGCGTGCGGTGGCCGGAAGGAGGGAAGGCTTCAGGCAGCCCATGATTCTGGAGTCATTTCTGAACCAAGTGGCAGGCAGTTAAGGCAGATTCAAAGCACTTCCTGCGCTGTGAATACTGGGGGTCCAGAGTGATTTAAAGGGGAATTCTGGAGGCTTATTTCCAGGGCAGTGTTTCCCAACCCTGGATCATTGATGAGTGAATAAAAGTCTCTGTTAAATGAACCAAAAGGTTCCATTGTCAAAAATGACTGGACTCTGTCAGGTAGAATAAAATTAGGGTTCTCACAAAAGAGTTTGTCAGGCCCTTTGCTAGATCCGTAGGCCCTGTAGACGCCAAAATGGATGTTTAAAATGTAGAATATTTAGATTTTCAAACTTCTTTGAATTTAGATAGTTATTTCCTTAAATGGGCTAATGAGATCATAATAAATCCACAGCCCATGTTTTGGAAGAAAAGTTTCTTTTGATATATCTAGTCTTAACATTTTCACTGCATTTCTGACAAGTCTCTAGAGACGTAAAGTAAGCAAAATGTTATTCTCCAGTTACTATAAAACTCACCGCAAACTGCCCACCCCGCTGATTAGACTCTGTTAGTCAAGGTGGAGTCTTACATAAGCCAGATTGCCCTGTAGCTCAATCATACTTTGTCCAGTTGCTTTCACCAATTCAGGGTGGGGTCGTTTTTGCATCTATAAAGGTCACTTGTTAAAGGCCTGTCATTCTTTACCTGTTTTATTGCTTCAGGAACCTGCTACGAGTGTGACTTTAAAGCAATCCCAGAGTCATGCATTAAGCTACACATAACAGGTTTGTTTAATAACACTTTGTGCCATTAATGTGCAGAGTCCACAAACAATGGGTGATTCATCCGGTCCTCTAGTTCAGGGGTTGAGCGGCACTTCCCTAGAATCAATAACTGAATGCTTCTTGTAATGAGTATTACTGAAAGGAACAGAGCTTCTAATTTGCTATCATCGTAACAGAAAATGGTATTTTATATAATGACAACATATTTGATACCCTGAGAAAAATGTGCTTGGCTAGGGTGATATTCTGTAAGCTGGTCTGCTCATGGGACCCTCCAGTTCTGGTCTCTAGAGTGACAGCTGTGAAAGTTGGAGACACCAGTTCACACATCCCCGCATAACAAGTCCTGGAGGGGTCTTTTAATATGAGACATCATATAGAAATGCAAAGGATTACACAACTATGATCAAAACCACAAAAAGAGTAAAAACTAAGCCCACCCATCTATGTAAACAGCAATAATACCATCCAGCACTTAGACAGTGTTCACCGTCGCCTAGGTGTCTCGGCACATTTGACAGAACCCATTTATCCTTACAGAAACCTGTGAGCCAAGAAGGGGGCCTTAATATCTGGACACTGGGTGCAGACATTCTGAAGGACTTACAGAGCACGCAGCGCAGCATGTGATCTTTCATGTGCTGTGCAAAGTTACAGTGAATGTGGTGCATTAATCCATCCCCATCAATCTCTGCATGTGCACCTGGATGTGTTGACTCAGACAAGCTCTGCATTTTCACTGAATGCATCTGAACGTTTAGCAAATCCCGGGAGAAGTATATCAGAGAGGTTCAGATGTGAAAAATAAAACACAATAACATGGCATCTATGCATCTGGATCTTACAGACACAGTATATTATTGTCTCCATTTTAATGACAAGGAAATGGAGGCTCAGAGAAGTCGAGTGGTTTGCCCAGGGTCACAGAGCAAGAAGTGGTGTAGAAGGGTTTTTAAATCAAGGCCATCTGACTCTGGAGTCCATGCTTTTATTGGATCTATAAATAAATAAAACAGCCTATACACAATCATACAGTAGGGTTGTGATATGAATTTGCATTCTTTATGCGCACTTAGGTAAATTTCTTGTCTTTTATTTTCCAAATTATTTGTGTTCCACTCTGTTGTATAGCAGGGGAATCCTTTCTCTATATCAAAGCTTTTGTTTCTTGTAATTGAAATATTTTCTGGACATCCTGAGTTCTACTCATACAGATGATTGTAGGGTGAAATGACTGCTGCCAGTCACTGGGGAGCAGTGGGGCCCTCCCCCGGCTAGTAGGTAAGCTGCTGGAGTAATATTCTATTCATTTTGTGTGGAAAACAGCTTCCCGTGGGGTCCAGGCCGAACAAGTTCTCAGGCAGTGTGTGGATACCACTGGACTTTCTGTTAGACTCTATGAGATGGCCGCCAGGCCTCCCACATCTCAGGCTGGCTGTGAATTTCATGACTCGGGTCAAGTCACTTTTCACAACACCACACTCATGGATCTATACACACACGTTTATGGCAGAATAGACAGAATTGCCAAGAGAACAGTTTTCTGGCTTCCTCTCACATGTTAACATGCCTTCCCAATTCTGTTTTTTTCTTAAATGGCAAATCCTCGAATGACCTCCCTCTTAGGAATGATGCCTCAGACCAAATAAAATTTGATGGTTCACAGCCTTCATGGTAAAAAGTCAATTTGTTAGGAATCTGCTCTTCAATATAGGATCTCTTATAGGTCCATGTGCAATTATAGACCATTACAACCACCTATTAAATTAGTGGTGGAGTTTCCACAAAAAGATGTCAAAGTATGTAAAGTCTAGAGGGCGTATGAACTGATACGGGGGAGGCAGGGAGGAGAGAAGGGATGGGGGGAGGGGAGAGGACGGGGCAGAAACAGTGCAGATCTCGAGAGGAACTGAGGGGTGTCCGCTATGAATTGGGGGTCAGGAAGCAGAGCCAGTGCCTGGCTTCAATAGGGCACATATGGTTAGAAAGATAGACAATGGGGGTATTGGTTTGAATACATCACATTTTTTATTGGTTTATGAAATTTAATATCTGTGTCCAGAGAAAATCCACTACTTCGAAAAGGAAGGAGTGATGGGGCCGGATCACCTCTGCCAGCGACTCAACAGACGCACTCCTGACTACCAGGAATGAGTCACAAACATAGCTAGATCTGGAGCAGGAGAGGGGAGAGGCGGTGGACATCCTCCCAGGAAGGCCACCGTTCGTGCTCAGATGACCTGGTCCAACAGCCTCTTCTTAGATAACAAGGAATCTTAATAGGATTGAGCCTATAATGTGTAATGTTATTTTCACGCCCATATATTTGAACTTTTGAGTTTAGTGACTGAAAACTTGGAAGCTAATAAATTCCTCAATTTCTAGAGGAAATAAATTCTAGTCTAAAAGGGATAGTCACCCAGGATTATGTTGTATGTTTCTGAATATAAAAATCCTGAGACTAAGGTATCAGTCAAATGTCTAAGAAATTTTCATCTGGAAAATTTTCCTCTGCAGTTTGAAAATAAGGAACTATGTCTCAGCCTATAAAGTAGCAGCTTAAACCCATTTGCTTTTTTTCATTAAGATGACTCAGAAAATCCTATAGAAAAATAGAAGTATGGAATATTAGGACTGCATGGAGCAGCATTTTATTTAATGTAATAATATTAAATAATACTAAATTAAATATTAAATTATATAACGAATTATTAAAAATTAAATTATTAAGTTGAATATTAAAGAATAACAGTAATATTAAGAAATGAGCATATGGCCTCTCAACAGTCTCTGTGGCTGTTTGACATGGCCAATAAGAGGATGGGAAATAATTCAAACCAGAGTCACAGCAGTAGGATAGACTGCTCACTCCTCTGGTTTTTGTTTTTGTTGTTACTTTTAATTTACATCTGGGCCCCATATGTTCCATGGTGTTGCTTGTTCTAATTTTTGATGTATAGACATTCAGAATTGGACTCTGACTTATTTAATCCGACTTGTCATTAAAATACTTGAGAGGGTAGTTTCCTCTTGGCTTATGTGGAATGATGGGGTTTCATGTGATGTTAGGGAAGTCATTTAAGATCTTCTTTCTGACTGATTCGCTTTCCTTAATTTATTACAGAAATCGGAGCCCTAGCCGATCATTCAAAAATCCTTAGATTGGTACTGGTCACATCCAGTTAATATTAGATCATTCGTATTTTCCAAGATTACTAGAGATACTTCCCCAGTGGAAACAAATTTCTTTGAATCCCCCAATCCCTGTACCCCACAAAGAGGGGTGGTTTGTTCTAACTTGTCCTTCTTGTCCTTAATCCTGTGATAAATAGGATGGTCACCCTAAGGGATGGAAAACTGTTTCGCACACTCCCCGCCACATCATATCTTTTCTTTTAGGGATGGAGATTGGGGCGATGGGGCTGCTTTATTCATGCAGTGCCTCCGATGGTACCATATGCTTGTGGAATCTTAATACATGCTATTTGATGATTGATTTATGCACTCCATTTATAAGGTGTTAA